AGGAGCAGTCAGATTGCACACCATCAGATATGCTGGTTTGATCGGATGGATGCTGAGTGACCTTTCGATCAACCGGTTCATCGCCCATTGTATTTAGGATTTGTTTGGAAGGGTTGTTTTAATGAAGTTTTACTTTTACAAATATAAAGCCACATTTTTACAATCAACCCACTCTTTGACTGGACTAGCCGTGGTAGTTGGTTAGCTTTGCTCCAACTACGAGTCGGGAGGGTGTATGAAGTTCGATGACCGTTCTCCTATCATTGTAACGGGGACGTCATTCCCATAGTGCCCGTCAAGGGGCTTGTTTTGGCCTCAACTATCTGTGGTCGGTTAGGTATTTCGTGAGGTTGTTGCGCTGCAACGGTTGGTCAACGTGGAGTTCGGTCGGGCTATGTACGAGCGTTTGGTCGTTTGTTCTTGAACGATTCTTTATTTATTAAATTTGTACAGCCCAGTTGTCATTAGTGCTCGGTGCCGATTGTCATCAGTACAAAATAGTCATGGCACTCCAACTCCTTGGAGTATATCTTTTATGCCTAGTTTCCCCTTTTAAGGGTCATCCCACCTATGATGACAGCAATGACCCTGACTGGTGGTCGGGCTGAGGGCTCATTAGTGTGGTGCAGTTCTCTAGGTTTGTTCTCTTTGATATCGTTGAATCCACGAAGGTATTCACGTCAGACGAGGTCTTCTAGGTGGTGGTGAAGGTCGTGGAAACTTTTAGTGTCGTCATCCTGGTCTCAATGGAAATCGCAATACTTATCTCGATTTCTCTTGTTGCCCTGGGTTTTCATCTTCTCGGGCCACTTTCGGCATTTATATACTTCTATGTGTGCTTCATGAGCGTGTTCAGGTTGGGTGGAGGGTTCTTTTGCAAAGATAAACTGAACATTGAGGAGCACAGCCCACTCATGATGGCGGTCATGGCCACAGACTAGTCAAGAGTCCGAACTTGAAAGGCCTCAGAATTGAAACTCGCCAAGTATTCCCTTAAGGTCTATCATTTCCTTTGTTGTACTTGCATGAGCCTGACTGACGTCTTCCAATGCCTTTGGATGGTGGTGAGTTGCACGAGGAACCGTGTCTCTAGCTACTCCCAAGTGGATATGAACTGCGAAGGAAGGGAGGCGTACCAGGTCCTGGCAACTCCGCGGAGGGTGGTGACAAAGGCCTTGCACATGGGACCTTTTGAGGAGCCTTGCAACATTATTATTGCCTTGAACCCCTCAATGTGGTTGTTGGGGTCTGAGGCTTCATCGTATTTCTCAAACTGAGGGGGTCTCCAACCAGCTGGGAGAAGCTCATCAACGATCTTCCAGCATTATTATTGCCTTGAACCCCTCAATGTGGTTGTTGGGGTCTGAGGCTTCATCGTATTTCTCAAACTGAGGGGGTCTCCAACCGGCTGGGAGAAGCTCATCAACGATCTCCTGGATGAAGACGAGCTCCTTCGCGGGTTGGCTGTAGTGTTGTTCTGAGAGTTGGGCCGTTGGAGGAGCCATGCTCGGTGCTTTTATCCACTAGGTTGCATTCCAATTCGGCCACCCGCTTTATCAGTTCTCTGATCTTAGTGTCTCTAACGGCTAAGACCACATTCATGGAATTCTTTGCTTTTGGGATAGTAGGCCGGTCTCAGACCAAGCTGGATTTTTCTATCGAGGTCAGCGACTGTTGTAGACATTGATCGAGCCATTCTTTCTCTAGTACTCTAATGGAGCGATGGGATCTACTACAGGCATCATGAGCGATTGGCCGGGCTGGGGAGTCAGGTATTCTGGGCGGCTACGGTTACTCGCAGTCGGATTGGGGCCATGCGGACCTGCATGAGGCCTTTTGGGGTCCTCAGTGTGGGGATCGGCTATAGTAGGTGCTTGAGTGGCAGGGCAAGTAACTTGGGGGCGTAAGCTGGTTGGCCCAGCATCTCCATTAGGGCGAGGAATTGTGCGGGGTCGACTATAGTCTGATGCTGGGGCTTCCAAGGCAGATAGCTGCAAAGTGAATGGGATCCCCGAGATGGGGAACGAGCACCAGAGAGGTTGGATGTGTTCTTGGGCATTGTTGCTTTTAGTGCGTGGAAAGGGGTTGGGAAAATTGACTGTTTGTACATTTTCCACAAACAACGCCAATCCGATGTTGTCTGATCCGAGGTGTTCCGAACCGAAGACATAATCAAATAGCCCTACCAATTGTACGAGGCCAAGGTAGAAGGACAAGGCCGCGCATCGAGATCTACAACCAAGGGAAAGGTTAGAGGCCCGAGGAGTTGGATAGGTACTCTGATGCTCCAATCAGTTGGGTAGAGAAAGATGTGGTCGGGCTGAGCAGGATGGAATAATGCTTATTCGAGCTGAAGAGATAGTGCAGAAAGGTATTCAAAGAGTGTTTTGCCAAAAGTCTCTTACCTCGAGCAGGGAATACCTATTTATAGTTTGGTGTATGTGTCCCAAATGGATAGGGCTTATGGGACGGTCGAGATGAGGGCATCTGCCGAGGTCTTTAAGAGGTTTTCTCTTCCTCGGTGGAGTCCACTTCCTTATCTACGCAGAACACTCCTTTTTAGTCATACTTTTCCTTTACATGTGATGTCGACATGGCCCAAAAGAGGGGGTGGACGCGGGGGTAGCCACATGGCTTCCTTGGCCAGCTCAACTATTACCCGAACAGGTAATTTGATGTAAATAACTAAAAGACGATAGGGTGAATAATCTAGGCCATTGCAGCTGGAGGCAGACTCACCTCCAAAGGTATGGAATATAGATGCTGGTGGCTGTATCTAGCTATTATATTTGATTTGTTGTTGGAAGCTTGCTTTCAGAAGAGAAAGAAAAGAAAAGGCAGCAGGCAAAAAGAAAAATAAGTACCAAGGACCGTCATGAACCTATCTGCAATCAGAAGTTTAACTTTGAAAAGAATCTTGAGATGAGTTGGGTCCAAGCCACGAGCCTGCAATAAATACAGTAAGGTTCAGACACTCAAAAAACTGTAGTTTTCATCCTGTTACCTTTCTTTCTATTGGGTATGATCAATGGGCAATATGCTAGTACCCAAATAGCTGTTAAGGAAATGGGTAGCTGACAAGGAATTGAAGGTGTAGTTGAGGAATGACTATTGCCCCCAATATATAAAACAATACATAACTACTCCAACCTGGCTCTCTCTCTCTCTCACCTTTATTAATTATTTCATATTGGCAAGCCTTAACAAATAAAGTTGGGTCACCAAAATAATGCTCAAACACCTACTCGCTCATGTCTGTGAGTGCAAAGTGGAACAATCAAAGCATTCCTCACTAGTCTGCAATCATCTACTTTGGTCAGTTTACCTATTAAAAGCTCGTGATGACTGATGACACTTCTGTACCCCGTGCCCATGTTAGTTATGATACATCATAGATGTGGTGCCACTTCTCGTACTTGACCCTAACCCTGTGAAGAGAACCAGGCCACCTCAACTGATTAAATTTGCATTTCTCATTTCAGGGTATATGTACATGTCGATCAAATACAGAAACCCACACCATTTTTATTGGAGAGTACCAGCACCACAACCTAATTAAACTTCATCTCTATAATGAATGCCTCTCTGGTGTCACTTTGAGTAAAGGGGAGTGGGAATTAGTTAGATTGAATTCCTGTCTCCTGATCAGCAAGTATTAATGCACAGAGCCAAATTGGAACCAACCTGTCTACTAAATGCGTAGTACCAATATAAACTTAATTTGGACAGAGAGCTAGAGACCTTAATTACTGATCAATGCATGCTTGGATATACCGGATTCATTGGATACCCCTTTGACAGCCTATCGTTCAAGTTTGCAATTAATTAAAAGCATATGATCGGTAGGGTTCTCGACAGGAAGACCACTTGGAATTGAGGACTGAGGAGGTTTGCTTTTGCTTAGTACACGATGTAATTGTAAACATGCATCTGCATCAGCAAGTCGTACTGTTTAGTTACTTCAGACAATCCCTCAGTAAGTTGTTTAAGTTACTTGATCAGACTTCATCAGTACTGGCACTGCCAACCCAGCAGGAGGCTACCAGCAGATTGCATTGTTGCAATGTTATAACCATGCATTATTATATAGGATATGATTATGTCACAGATTTGTTTCATCTGTTTCTTGCAATGTTTTAACATGAAAACTTTCAGGGAGAAATTCAGGTTTTGGGTTGGTTTGTATATATATTGGGATCAATTGGTTTCAGCCTTTCAGGTCTTGAATCTTTTGATCAGCTTCAGAGTTCAAACTATATATGCATCTTCTGATCAGTCTGAGCTATATATATTTTCTCAGGCCGATCGACCACCGGAAACAAGTAAAACAGAGGGCCTGTAGTGCATCCTTTACTGATGATTTGGAAGATAATCTTCACATAACACAGTTGGGAATTGGGATTCATGGATGAATTTGGATCATGGGTAGTTGATATATATATATAATATATATATTGAAGCATTTAAGAGGGTCTGTGCTAGTGACATACAAATGGGCCACTAGACTGACGAGGTGCCAGGTTGCTTGGATTTTAATTTTTGATCAAAGTACAACGTACACGTGAGATTTCTAAAGTGACTTTATGTAGAGATCACAGGTGGATGATATTTATAGATACGTGATGATCCAGTCTCCAGACATGCCTTGTGCTTCTGATCACTTCTCACTTCTCATTTTCTCATCTGGGTTGAAAACTACAGTACTAGTTACTCAGCTAGTACCAGTAGTAGTTAGTAGTGGAGCTTCACTAATTCTATTGTAATCTATGTTGGCCAAATAAAAAAAACTTTCACGTACATTCTGGTCTGGTCTTCAACCGATCGATTTGTTCATGAATTCGGGCGTGTGTAATATCTTTCTGTCCGAAAGGAAAAACGATACAGATCATTTACAAGAGTTTGGAGTTGTTGCGCAGGGAGAAATATATACAACACAAGAATAATCTAAGAATTTAAGCAAATCATTCTCATCCTGTTTACGGCTCACCGGGACTGATGACTGATCAATTAACCTCAGCAATTCCGAGAAACTTAACATCTGATAACCGATTGAAATGACAACGTATCCCCAACATTCTCCGCTCCAAGTCTTCCCCCTTCATCTCTCTCAGGAAAAGAAGGCGAGAGAATAAAGAGAAATTAAAATTGAAAAATAAATCAGATATGCATAGATTAATACTAGCTGGGCAATACAGAAGCAAACGAAAATAAAGTCTCTCATGTGAACAAGGAGATACTATCATGGTTGAAAAACCAGGTTTCGACTCAGTCGAGTCATGGAGACTGGGAGAGGTTTGAATTTTGATGACGCTCGGACCAAGTCAGAACTCAGAACATGAAACAATGACTTACGGGGATTCGATGCTCATCGGTCGCATCGTCGATCTTAATGTAGTACAACTAGCTCATTACGAAGTAGAGGAGGGTGCAAGGCTCAGATGTAGATCAACTCCAACTTCCACCTCCGGCATTTTCTCGGAAAACTGAGTTATCGATAGAGCAGGGCGTGGACGAACGTCGGGATCCACAGGAAATTGAGGTGGGCGAGAGACGTAAAGCCAAGAAGGAAGCCGAGGAGAAGATAACGATGACAGCATCGGTGGTGGTGATGCATAGTACTCGGTCGGAGAGTGGAGTTGAGCAGCTGCACCGATGCCCAAAGGCAAACCTGAGTATAAGAAGGGTCCTGACCGCACTGCGTGGGGATTAAGAAGCGGGGAGACTGCGGCTGAGAACCGCCGACTGCTTTGGAATTGGGCTCGCTTTGCTCGTTGCCTCTCCTTCTTATGAGCGTTTTGATGGCCTCCGAGTGCTTGAGAATTCCCGAATTCCCGTCCACAGTACTGACACTCGAATTTTCTACTGTTTTGTATAGTAGCGGGGACTTCATCGCTCTCCGTCACCTCAAAACCAAATAGCTTCAGTACTGAAGCGGATCTCCGATCCGATATGTCGTCGGAATTACCATCTTCTGACGACGGCTTCATCGGAACTGGGATTTCGGGATCTGCCATAAGACAGACTTAGAGAGAATGAAAGGGGAGAGGAAAGGGTTTGTACTTGCAGTAGGCCAGACTTGTTGAAGACAAGCAAACAGATCTTCCTTGTGATATGTGGGAAGTGGGAACTAATAATTGTTTGTGGTGTTTATTTATAGGGAATATATATTAAATTGAATTTCTTTCCTCGGTTGAATTACCAAAATATCCTCAAAGTGCGCCAAGCCAAAGTGGACAAAATTAAAAGCTGTTCGTTTCATCTACTTGGGTATTAATTAGTTCTTGCAAAGGGTGATTTTGATGGTGATAGATTTGTTTACGTGGCAGTCAGTCGCCGGTGCCAGCCAGTGGGAGGGACTGTAGTGTTAGTCAGTTGTTGTAGAGCTTTAACAGGAGAGAGAGAGAGAGAGAGTCTACGCTGGATAATTCTAAAGGAAACTCCAATAAAGCCAAGCGTGATGATATTTTATTTGGGATCCATTTGGTTTGCTATTAAAATTAAAAATCAGAATCAAAATCTCTATTTTCATTTTCAAGGGAGGAAATGGCAATGAAATTCTGTTTCTGCACAACCAAACAATTAGAATCAGAATGAATCATTTTGATTCCAATTCCAAATTCTTATTCTACAAACCAAACGGGCCCTTAATATATACCCATTCCCATTCCACCCAACCAAATAGTTGGAATGAGAATGATTCATTCTAATTCTGATCTCAGACCTTATTCCCACAAACCAAACAGGCCCTTAATGCAGACACTTTGGTCAATAAAACTGCATGATGTTTTGTCCGGTTTGCCTTGGTATATTAAAGAAGTGAAGGAGAAATTAATAAACTTGGAATAGTTATTAGCACAAATCCAAGGTCAGGTCATTAATGTAATTAAGAGGTGATTCACTGATTCTGGATCTATATTTGGTTGTATACACGACTAGGAGCGAGAAAATGGATCCCCGATAATCCGAGAAAGGTAGAGCATTTGTGAGTACGTGTGGTGTGGATGCCGATTCCCTGCATATTACCGCACCACCTGTGGAAAGCTCCCTTTTTTCTACTTTTGGAAAAAGAAATCCATCATTCCATCTTAATTCACATACAATATAGCTGCAAAGCAATAAACAAAACAAATAATAAAATAGTAGTTGGTTTATGGGCCGTTTTGATAATAGCTGAATTGTGCATATGGTTTATTAATTTGTCTTATAGTACTGAGGTTGTGAATTCCTTATTAATGATTTGATTTGAATTCAATTACTTTATTGATGAAAAGATAAAGCATAAAATCATTCAATTCAGTCACTACATCATTACCAAACGGCACCTGTGAACATTTATTTACATTAGATTGGAATATCTTGGGTTGAGGATTTGAAGAAGATATGTGGCTTGAGCATTTACATTAACTTTTTCTTTTTTGTCAGCAACTCAATTATAGGGTCACCCAACCTAATTCAACCCTGGACCCTATTTATTTTTATTTTAAAAACCCAAAGTCTCTTGCACATGGCATCTAACCATACATTAAGAATATCCTAGTCTGTATATGTTGAAATTATAGGGAGATGTTCTTACTATGCGGGCCGAATGAGCAGGGGATGGAGATAAGGGGACCAAGGGAACCATGGTCCGTCCTATGCCTTAGAATCTCAATGAATAATTCCCATTCATATGTTTATTTGCTTCTCCTCTCCCTCTGGTTGGCCCCCTCCCATGCCCCATGCATGTTTAACCC